ATAGAGGATTTAGAACTATAATAAAAATATATTGAAGCATAAGAAAATGCTTGAAAAATGCATTTTCCAAACATTCATTAAGCATTAAATTTCACTGATCTTGGAAGGTTAGTTTTTTCATCAGAGATGCTCAGGGCAACTTAAGAAATGTCTTGAAAATTGCTCAACTTGAGGCTGAAGCAAGAAGCTTTGCTTGTTGACACAAGCATGCAAGAGGTAAAGTGACAAAGAGAGAAAGCACAACAAGCCCAGCTGTCAGGCCTAAGAACACTGTACAGCACCAGAAAGGTCAGTAACATGTTCTAAATCCACTGCATTTACAGACAGTCTTGTCCTACTGAAGCTCAAAAACTTTGCCTTCAGGGCCAGCAGATCTTCCAGCAGCTTCCCAGACGCTGGGAATTAATGTGCTGCCATGTACCTTCTTCCCTCCCTTCCCCCTCCATCCACCCGTAGAAAAGGTCTGGGAAAAACAAATCTCAAGCCGTATTTTCTGTGTAATTGGGATAAGGAGGCATTTCAGCACCAACACTTACTAGAGAGGTGTTCACTCAACACATGAACATCTCCTGCAACACTCACGCAAGTGTCTCCTGCCAGTAGGCCCCATTCCCTGGGGCTAGTTTGGCTGTGGATGGTGGGTACAGATCCATTCTCATGAGTGGGAGGGAGCAACATCCTCTGCTCCCTGGCATTGTTGTGAAAAGATCCAGAGACCACAGGCTTGGCTCAATTTACATGACAGACTGGTGTCTGGAGCTTTTGATTCTGGGACATCTACAGAAGAGTTCAGACCCTGTATTGGTTGTTTGGTTTTGCTTCAGCCCTGCTGTGAATGTAACAAAATCATTGTGTAATATCGACCACCCTTACTCCAGAAAATCATGTGCACTACCAAAAAAAGCTGCATGCCCATGGCTCCAGCAATGCAATCATCCCCTTCCCAGCAATCATGCAGCTGGGAAGGGGAGCTCAAGGCAAGAGGGAACCAGTGTACCAGTCTGCACAATGCAAGCTTAAGTGAAAGCCAGCAATCCCTCATTCCTTTAAGGAAAGCATTTACTTAAAATTTTTCATTTTATTAAAACAAAAAACATTTTGTGGCTTAGTAGTCCTCAGTTATAGTTCTGTATTCCACACTAATTAAAGCATGAATGCCCTTTCACTATTTACCACAACCCATACTTTAAAACACCGAGTGATAAATTTCAGCCACTCTCTCATAAAATATGGAGCAATTCTGCCAAATTCCCTTCCACACTCTTCATTTGATGGCAAAATAACAGAAGAACCATAATTCACTTGCTATCATTCTTTTCCTGCTAATGTTTTATTCAGAATGAGTTTCATTAGTAAAGATGAAACTTTGGACTCATGACTGCTCCATGTTTACAAAACATACAGGCTCCTTTACATTGTGGTTAAGCATGAACAATCACTGAACACACAACTTCCTAAAAAAATCCTGCATACCAAAATTGCATATTTTGAATTTTTAAAATTCACTAAACAAAATTTCACAGAGTGAACCCTAAAGTCTGTTTGCCAGCAAAGCACAAGCCAACAATGGAAGTTGGGACCATCCAGGAAAAAAACTGAAACTGGACCCCAACACACACACCTTTCCTATTAAACAAGCAAATAAATACACATTCATACAGAGTAATGTGCTCTAAAAATGCAGGTGCTTGAATAATTACCCACACATTTTAGCATAAGTTTTGGTTTCTCAAACAGTACTGAGTCACAGTAAGCTTCTGTCTTTCTTTTTGGTGGAACTGGGCAGTGACTTCTTACTGGACATCAGAGAACAAAAGCTAACCTGGAACCTGTTGATTTTGGCACAAGTCCAAATGTGTTTCTCCACAAAAGAAAGATTACAAAGACAAGGCTGTTTTTTTAAAATAATAATTAAAAAAAATTAGCAGTATCACTTTTTAATGCCAGGTATTGAACCAAAGAATGGGACAGACTGCACTGCATTTTTAAAGTAGTATGACTATTGACATACTTGAGAAACATTTTAACACTGTACATTACAACAAACTATATAGTTCATTTCTACACAAGTCAGCAAAAAAGCTAGGTGATCTAACATATATGACAGCTGCAAATTTAAAATTCTAGTCACAGTCTAAAGCCAGAACAAAAACTTTTCCAGAACTCCTATTATAAAAAGGAATGAACATACACACCATGCGCATACACGCAGGCAAAAATCTTGAGGTTTTACTTATTGCTCTTACACAAGGCTGTGAGCAGGCAAATGTCTGGATCAGAAATTAGGTCAAACATGCATTTCAGCAGGCACAAAAGTACAGGAAATTCATATTAACAAAACAATGTACTGTGTTACGTAGTACAGGATGGTATTCTGCTAATATAACACTTAACGTCATTCATTCCGGATAAACTCCAGGTCTGCCTGTTGTATAATGTGTTATGCAGTGTGGTATTTTAACCTAATTTCTGATTCCACTTTTATTCTGCACTCTCTATACAGAGATGAAGAGGGCCTTTCTTTGCAATGTCAGAGAATCCTTGGCCTCAAGAGCTTCAGTCGGGCAGGTATGGCTGGAAGGAGGTAACATTACCACCACTGTGTCACCAGGACCTGCTCCTTGACTGCCTCGGGGTTTTGTGCATTCACTGATAACTCAGCTAAACAAATGCAGAAGCTGGCACAAAATGCACCAGCACTGCTCTTGGAGCAGCTTTCACCTATGCCATAAGCTTCTGGTACACCCAGCAATTGCTACAGGATAAGGCAGTAGAGGGTCAAGTCCCGTGTCTGGTCAGTTCCCCAAGAGTCTTGTAAAAGGCAGGATTTTTTGTGAACTGGCTTTCCTTTCCACAATAAGCAGTGTAGCATGGATGTCAGTAGAAATCTGGCTAGCTACTGGCAACAAGGGACGAGCACGTTCACAAGACACATTTGGGAATACCTGGTGTTCCCTACTGCAACCACATGAAACATGCTGCGGACTGTGGAGAGGCGTCCATGTAATTACAATACTTGCAAGCCAGATTCAAGGCATACTGCACATGGGCCTTGCACAAAAAAGGCATTGAGTGTTTTAACTGAAGACTTTTTTTTTTTTCCTGTGCTATGCATACATATGACAGTAGGTAAAAATCAGCACAATGGCTCCTCTCCCTACGTGAGCAAACACACATCATCACAACTAAGCACCCTATATTCCATTCTTCCATTAACGGAAATCAAGGAAGAAAATGGTGGCTTAGAAACAGGGAGGGAAAAAATCCAGCATGAAGTCAGAGGTATGGTCCTGACAAAAGTGTAAGCTGAGAATGTTTATTGTGAACCAGCAACTGGATTTTGTGACAAAACCAGAAAACCAAGGATGACTACGGAGCCAACTTGGGCACTGCATAGTCAAAACTATGTTATAATATGGCATTCAGCAATCTCCAAGAATTAGAACAGTAGGCAGACAACAAGAGGACACAGTTCAGGGAGGTTATGCCTTGTACTCACAAAAAGCAGCAGTGCAAATCAACAGATTTTTCTGTCTTATTAAAGGTCTGCCACGTGCCCCTTGATCCAATCCCTAAATCTCATCTAAGTTTCAGCAATCAGACTTGCCAAATACCAAATTCACACTGGGCTCTATTTTACTTATGAGCAGTACTACTAAAGCTAGTGGGACTGCTTAGAGCAAGGTGCTACTGCAGTGAAGATTCAGGAATTTGGCTCTTCCCAAGACGTGAACTGCTAATGACTGGGGTTTCATGACAGTCACAGGAGACTGTAATGAAGGGGAAGAGGGACACTTACTGTGTTTGTTTTAGAAGTGTAAGCTGAAAATGTTTATTGTGAACCAGCAACTGGATTTTGTGACAAAACCAGAAAACCAAGGATGACTACGGAGCCAACTTGGGCACTGCATAGTCAAAACTATGTTATAATATGGCATTCAGCAATCTCCAAAAATTAGAACAGTAGGCAGACAACAAGAGGACACAGTTCAGGGAGGTTATGCCTTGTACTCACAAAAAGCAGCAGTGCAAATCAACAGATTTTTCTGTCTTATTAAAGGTCTGCCACGTGCCCCTTGATCCAATCCCTAAATCTCATCTAAGTTTCAGCAATCAGACTTGCCAAATACCAAATTCACACTGGGCTCTATTTTACTTATGAGCAGTACTACTAAAGCTAGTGGGACTGCTTAGAGCAAGGTGCGACTGCAGTGAAGATTCAGGAATTTGGCTCTTCCCAAGACGTGAACTGCAAATGACTGGGGTTTCATGACAGTCACAGGAGACTGTAATGAAGGGGAAGAGGGACACTTACTGTGTTTGTTTTTCAAATCTGTCCTTATGAAATCATCAACACTACTAAGACTGAAACATGTGAAGAGGCTCTGTCACGCTCACCCAGACATTCTGACACCAGGACAGTCACAGCAGTTTAGGAGGGGTGGCTCACCCAGTAAGAGGTTAGGCTGGCCTGCATTCTCCAAGATACATCACTGCCTTTACTAGATGACTGCATAAAACAGTCCTTGGTCTCAGTTTCAATGGTGAAGCTTTCTTAGAGCAAGACCTCTGTCACACCACCCATTAGTGCACAGTTGCAACTCCTAGGAAAGAGGGAGGCAAAATAGGTCTAAATTCTTCAAAAACAGTTAAGTAAACGTAACCTGCAGGAAAAGAAAATTAAGAGCAATATGAGATCACGTCCTTGCAGGACATGACCCATTTCTTCACTAATGGATATGAAGGCCAGGTCATCAGTAAGTCTGCAGCCAGACTGGAGGTGGAAGAGGATGTCCAATGTTTACCATGCAAAGCCATCCTTCCCATAAAGCCAGTTAGGCAGAACTGTTTTGACTGCACTTTTTATGTATTCTTTCTAGCCTACTTTGAATCCCTTCTTCAAACCTCCTTCAAATAAAAGATGCTGGAAGTACCACTTCCCTGTAGTTGAGAGAAAATGGGGAAAAACAGAGGCAAAAAACAGACACCGAGGAAGGAAATAATTGCTTGTAAAATGCTACCTTTTAAAATCTATTGTACAACTCCGTAACTTGGTTTAATTAATGTGCTGTTTAAAACATATAAAATGCTTTACCAGCTACATGATTTCTCCGTTTTACAAGTCTGTCTCCCTCCCCTCATTAAAAAATAATGCATGTGTGGACTGGTATTGAACAGCTCATACAGTTGTGCGCCAGTTCTCATTTAATTCTACGTGGAGCAGTTTTGATTTTAATATACTCTGTTTAAAGAAGAGCCCGTACTGTATACATCACAGTATAACCAGCTACATAGAGGTCTTTAATCCTGTAACACAATAAAAAAAGATCACTGTGAAGTTGCAGTCCCTTTGATAAATGGTTGAGGTGACACATGCAGTCCTCCTCAGTGCCACTGCTGCCAGACATGGGATGTGGTTTTCTCCACAGGCTGCCGACAGGCCTGATGCCACCCCTCCGGGGGCCACAGCCAGGCGGGCACCACTGCCTGGGTGCACAGCGTCCTGCAGTCACTGGGGAAAGCTGCACGATATTGTCTTGTTCAACACCACCACCGACCCGACCCAACCTGACCCGCGGGGGAGCACAGCCCCCGCCGCCTCAGCCGCAGGAGATCACCGTGAAGCGCTTGGAAATGCACGACATGTTGTGGAGGACGATGCCCAGGAGGAAGACCAGGACGCAGGCCACCAGGATGACAGTGCACACCCCCGACCAGGTGGAGCTTTTCACAGCGCCTCTCCGGTCCGGCTCCTCCGCTCCCGCCTCGGCGGGAAGGCCGCCCTGCAGCGGCTGCTGCTCTGCGGGGATCGTCACCACCGTCAGGGACTTCTGCTGGCTGCCGGGCAGGAGACGGCAGCCAATGTCTCCCGGCAGCAGCGCCCGCTCCTTGGAGAGAGGCAAGGGCAGCATGTAGCACCCATTGCTGGGGAGTTTGATGAAGACAGGGGTGTGCTCCGAGGTGTGGGGGATCGCGATGACGGCGATCACCTCGGGGTCATCGGGCAGCTGTGACACAGAGTACCCCGGAGGCAGCTTGGTGATGCCACGGCACCAGGGGCAGCGCAGGTCCTTCTGGCTGGTCCTCATCTGCTGCAGGCACACAGAGCAGCAGGTGTGCTTGCAGTCCAGCAGCTTGGGCCGCCGCCGGGGACTGTAGTAGTTGAAGCAAATCTGGCACTCCAGCAGAGAGTCCTGGGATAAGGTCTCCATGGCGGCCGGTGCAAGGAAGCACAGCAGGCCTTGTGGTGAGCCTCGCCCTGACACCCTGTAGGCAAGGGGGAGCAGCCTTCCCACCACTTCTCCTCAGGGCAGCACCCGCCTTCCCAATGCTGCTTTCCTCAGGGCAGCACCAAGCAGCAGCTATGGAGAGCACAGGAAAACCTCCGGCCTGAAACTTTCAGCACCTGAGACAAACAGAAGAACAGGAAAGAGCAGGTTATTCACAGGAGCATGTGGGAACAGAAGAGTCCAGCCAAAGGAGAAAGAAAACTAGCACTGTCTTTGTTATCTGGTGGGAGAAACAAATTTGTTATCTTTCACTAGAAAGCATCTTCCCACCACCTTCACCAAACAGCCCAGTGGCAAAACTTCCAGTCAGTCATCAGTACTATCACTAGTCTCTTACTGGGTTTTTCTCCCCTAATTTTCCCAGCAATCAAACCCCCATCAACCCATCAGTCCACCACTCACAGTTGTATTTATGCCCATAACAGAGGTGGCTGTATAGTTCACTAGCCAGGTCCCACAGCAACAATCTCCTATCATACTTTCAGGACTTTTCAGCCCTTCCTGCACCAAAACAATTGTTCTCATTTAATCCTTTAAATCCCTGAGGATTTTTAGCTATTTGGCTCAACTGCTAAGTCTGCAAGAATGGTAGGGGAAAGAAAAAGTATGTTTAAATGGAAGCATTTCCACAGGCTCCTGAACTTGTGCCTGTGCATGAATGAGCAACCAAGCAACTACACTCTAACACCTACATTTGCACATAATGAAAAGGAATGGTATCATTTTCAGTCAAATTAACTGTTTGCTCAGTTGCACAAGCAGCTTGTTGAACATGGCCCTCTGAAACATAAACCTTCTCACTAATGAAAACCTCACCCAAGACAAAAGGCTCTGCTCAGACCCAGGACCACTGAACACCACAAAGAAGAGAAATTAAACAGAATAACAGAAAGAAAGATAATGCATTGAATTAAATTATTATTAAATAAATCTTTAAATCTTGCTTTAAATCCTTTTAAATTCCCATTTTCCCACTTATTACTTACATCTTTGACAAGAAGGCGGCATCTGTGTTTACCTGCACAGTGCGTAGTTCAGCTTTGTTTGACTTTGGTCACTCCAACACAAGTAATATGAAGGAGTGACAGTTTTACAACATTTTACACTTCCTTCCTGTGTTTGAAGAAGTACCAGCCTGAATTTGCTTCCAGAAAATAAAGAAAACCCAAAATAACTGCAGGGTGACCTTTGGTCTTCTCTTATTGCAATGTTATTTCCAAACTGGAGTTAACACCCAAAGACCACAGCTTTCAGAGGACTTCTTCCTTTCTACACAATAACTTCTTGCTCTCCTCTCTAGATTATAGCAACTAGGTTGCAACATACGAATCAATGGGTGATATCAGAAAAGCAAATATTGTAGTTTAAGAAGAGAAGACAGGCATAGACCTGGGATTTGCAACCCAGGACAGCGCTCTGGACCTCACTGTCCTGTACCCTGCTTCTGGCAGTTACCAGTATTTGAATAGGGAAAACAAAATTCACGTCATCTCTTCAGAAGCTGATGACTGGTTTCACCGACATTGGCAGAACTGGCCCTGCTTGCAGATTTTGTAACAGCCATGGATTTTGGCTCACAAGATGCTTCAACAAACACACAGTGATAATCCTGACTCGGGAGGGAGCAGGGGCCAGTTAAGAAGCTCCTGAAACACGTAAAATGGCTGCAGGGGGAACTGGCACACATTGTCCACCAGCACTTCTGGGATGCTTTATCTTAATGTGACACAGAGGCCACTGCTGAGAGAGACCCCCACCATCATGAAGCCCATGGGACATCTGCTCCACACCAGTGCCATGCTACACAAAGGCATCAACAGATACTCCGTGTGCTGGGGAGCCAAACACTGCTGCAGAAGGGGCTACAAATCTATGTGCAGACCACACTGAGAGAAAATAGAAGAAAATGAGAAGAGGTTTTATCTTCCTTATTTCCTTATCCATTACTATCTCCATATCCCTATGGTACAGGCACACACAGAGAAGACTATCAAGAAAGGAACTGACACAATAATAGACTAGCATACAGCTGAAAGAGAAAAATGAAAGAGAGATATCCATGATGCTAGGCAATTTCTGTCTGAAAAAAATATTAAGAGACAACAGCCAGAATAGAAATTAGTTATAGACACTCAGAAAAGAATCACTGAAGCCACCAGATCCAGTTTTCAGCCACAAGCAACCCAACAAATTTGCATTTTGCACAGAAGTATCCACACAAAATCTGCAGTTACAGGCCATCCAAGTCAAAGCTAAGCTCAGACAGTACAAGACACAACTCTTACCTGCTTTATCTGCCAATCTGTCCAAAAAGCCTCAGGTATAACAATACTGCAGTATTATTACAAGAAAAATCCCAATGCGTAGAAATTCAGAAATTAAGACTTATCATAATATCATCGAGGAGACTCAAAGATCATCTGGTTCCAACACCCCTGCTGTGGGCAAGGACACCTCCACTAGAACAGGTTGTCAGAGCTCCATCCAGCCTGGTCTTGAATCCTTCCAGGGATGGGGCAGCCACAGCTACTCTGTGCAACCTGTTCAGTACCTCATCACTCTCACAGTGAAGATTTTTTTCCTAATATCTAACCTAAACCTACTCTCACGTGACTGCTCTCTGCCCAAGGACAGAGTGGAAGTACTGCTTCTGCAGATGTAAATCAGTATATCTGCAAGGTCAGGAATGGGCTTGCCACCTACATGACATAAACTGCTCATACTTTCCCAAAACATCTCAAATCATAATCAGAGGTGTGGATCAGCAGTTATGACCAGCAAGCAGAGAGGTCAGTATGATTCCTTCAGAACATAGCTAAAGACAAGTTAAAGAGTAGCCACAGCCATCTAACCCCTTGACCTTTGCTGACATTGCCTTGTTCAAAGGTTGGACATGCAGCTTCACAGGTGCAATGCAATTTTATTGCCAACCATACAACCCTCTTGCACTCTGCCACAGCTCACTTTCAGGATGAAAGAAAGTCAAGCCATCATCAAGAAGAATCTATTTGAAAAAAAATTTGCACTATGTACCTAAGAAGGAAAAATCCATGGGAGCTCTCAGTACTCTTCTACCACTTCACTTTAATAACTATGCCAAGAGGAGCAGGTTTCCTCTTGGACAGGAGACCAAGCTCTTTAGTGTGTGCTCAATGCATCCTCACACCAGCTGAAGGTACTCAGTTGTCACAGGTGAACAGCTCATTCAAAGCTCACTCAGACGGGACTCTTCTCTGTGCTTCAAGCACAAAGACAGAGAGGCAGCCAGGACTGCATGTGAGGGCACAGCCGACATCAGGTATCAGCCAAAACCATTGGTGTGTCATTTGCTCTTGTTACACAGTGACACACAAGGTGGGCAAGGGCACTGTTGACAGAAAAAAACAGAGTGGGGAGAAAAAGCAGAAAACACTGTCAGGGATATCCACAGGTGTGCAAAAGTGATAGCACATGTGTATGTATGAATGGAGCACACCTGTGGAATGGGGACTGGCGACTATGACAATGAAACCACACACACGGAAGCAACTGCAGCTACAAGCAGTGACTGCCTGCCACAAGCCTGACAGCAACTGCAAGTTCTTCAGGGCTGAGATTATTTGTAACACAAACAGTAACTAACTGGAAATTAAAATCCACAAGACGCAAAACTCATACGTCAGAAAGGTGCAGCAGGAGTAAAGGCAGCAAGAAGAGACAGGCCATGGAAAGAAGCCTCTCTCCCTGCCCTGTACTCTCTTTCCTTTTTGTTACATCTGCCCTATATCCACAAGGTTGCCAGTGGCTGGCAAGCAAAGGAATTCACAAGCAGTTAGAGAGACCCACAGAGAAACCTGCAAAGCTGATGATCTCTGCAGCAGCCAGGTGGCTGAGAATATGGCACAAAGGTCCTCCTTGCAGATTTGGGCTGCCATCTGCACAAGCCATGAGTTTTTCAATTTGTATGACTCAATACCAATAAAGCTCTGAAGAATAAAGCAAGTAATCTGTTAGTCATGCTATCTGTTCTGCCAGGACTTTACTGGAGACCACAGCAATGACCCGAGTTCTCTCAGTTTTGAGTGAGCAGGAGGCCAGGAATGCCAAGGCATCAGCTTCCTATTCCTGAGGAAGCAGAAGGGGCATTTGTTGCTCTTACTGTTTGACACCTCCCCAACACAATGTGGGGAGGTGCTGTGGGAGGTGAACAGATGAAGGCTGCTGTAGCTGCAACAGTGAGAGGAAGAAAGCACAAATTTGCTCTGCACAAATGCTAGCTACAAACTGGCCAGGTCACAAAAGACAGCTATTTTTGGAACCCAGTGCAAAGGAAGACACTGAACATCCAAGCCCAGAGCTATACATAAATTCAGAGAACACAGTAATTAATGGCAAATCCTTGCCTAGCAACACAGTATTTTTCCTATGTAAGGATAGCCCCTGTGATATTAAGCAATGGAAACCACAACCTTGAAGGGGTGATGCCTTCACTGAAGGACTCAGAACTACCTTAAGACATATTTCCTAACTTACTAGGTTCCAAAATTATATTAACTTAAAAACCCCAAAAATATACTTCAGTGATGCCTGTGGAATCCAATACAATTCACAGATGACTAAACATCATATAACATTTCAAAAGGCTGGCTCTGGGGCATGCTGATGTACTTAACTGATCACTGAGAGAAAGCCTCAAAAGCTTTGCACAGACTTACACATGGATTTAGGCAGTCTACTTGCCGTACAGCAAGGTTGTAGCAGAATTTCAGCAAGGCAGTGCATCGACCATACTTCACCTTTACCAAGAAAGGTTCATTATGTAAACTCCCCAAACACATTAACAATTCTTTGGCAGTATTACTGAGTATGTATGATTTATGAAGAAGAAAGAATCATTCATTTCAGGTGCCCTTAGGCTGTAAAGGAGATGGGGTGAGGAGGGAGTGCTGTTCTCAATAGGAGAACTAATTGCAAGAATCATGTGCCCACAGTTACGGAAGGAAATGTCTGCTAAAGCCGCCTCCAAAAAGATAATTGGAAGCATTTCTGCTACAAAAATTCAGCATCGGTGAACATTTTTCACAAATTCACATTTGGACAAAATACACATTTGCTCAGGATGTACTACCTGATTTCCCCTGAATATCCTTCACTAAATGATCTTATTTGTTTTTAGGCTGTTCTGTAGCACTAATTACCATAGTAACTGGGAACAGCACAATGAACAATTAATTTATTCATCACAACACTCTTGTTAAGAGACAAGTATTATCATCATTATATTCTTTCATCATCTAAGAAAAGAAGCGCTGAGAGACAAAGCCGTTGCTCCAAGGTCATGCAAGCACCAACCGGATTGCCTCAAAGTTCCAGTACAATTTCATCACCATTCTACTTTTCACCTCACGAGCCAGAGGGCAGAGGTGACAGATTCTCTTCTGCAACAAAGCTCAGAAACCTACACATTTTCCCTTACCTCTTTCAGCTGGCAGCATCCCCATGGTATGCCTTTGATTTGGGGGGGGCTTTCATTAAACCTATCAGCTTTTTCACAGATTATGAAAAACTTGAGAGGCTGTGCCCCAGAAGCTGCCTATCTCCACAGGCATAGTTCATCCACCATACAGATTACAACTGAGAGACTATGTGCTTTTTGAGGGACATAAAGCTAACAATAAAACAGCAATGTATGTCCATTCTTCTCTCCAGAGTTATCTGTTCTCCAGGAACCTTCCTGTAACCCAGGCAGCCTACATCCACCATCCTTTCCATTTCATTATTCACAATTGCACAGAAATATTGCAGAAGGAAAGTATTTTAATTTAGCCAAAGCCTCAGCCACTGCAAGCTGTCACTACTCCTTTAGCTTTACTCCAGTCCTTGCCAAGGTGATCATCTTGGTATACGCAGTCCTGGGTGCATAAAGCCACAAAAAATAAAGCTGAGTGAAACTGTGATATGTGAGTCTGTAATATCCTATGAACCAGCACCAGAGGATCCATGCTGGTTCATAGGATATAGAGGCAAGAGAACGTGCTGTGGATGATCCCAACAGTACACTTTGGTCAGAGCACCAGTTTGTCCTGCCTCTCAGGCAGCTGAGAAATCAGTGGTGGATCACAAAAAAAGGAGCCTAGTTGCAAGATACCATTCCACAGCATTTACCTTAGAAATTGTCACCAGCCAGCCCTAGAAAGAGGAGACAGAGGCAGAAAGGTCACCTACAGGAATGTAATGAGATGTAGACATTTATGGGTTTGGAGCAAAAACAGATCATGTGAAAACACCAGCCTTTGGTGTTTAGGGAAAACAGAGAGAGACTCACATGCTGCCCCGTGTTCCATCTCACATCACCAGCTGTGCTGCTCCCTCTTTTTATCTGCAAACTTTGACACGTCCACATTCCCTGCCTCCAAAGACCTTATTTTGGTCAAATATGACCAGGATAAGCTGCACTTTGTTCCAGCAGCAAACACTACTAATCACCTGCAATGTGCCAGGTCAGCAAACATTTCATCGTGCTGAGGCAGAACAGTACAGCTGTTCTGTATGATATGCTCATCAGACAGTTTCACATGAGGCACCTTACAAGTGAAACACATTATCTGAGATTAAAATATTCCACAGAAATATGCCCATTTCAGACAGAGAGTGGACAGCTTTCCTGTCTCTCAGCAGCCCTCTGTGCAGGTGAACCTAGAGGCCAGGTGGTGGAAGCATGACCTGCTCCTCACCAGCCCAACTCTGATATGTCTGCAGGTTTTTGACAAGGTCAAGCTATGGTCCTCTAAATCTCCTAGTCCCCCTCCATGCTGGCAGAGCACCCCCAGGTGCAGCTCTGCCCTGCTAAAAGGAGTGTGATGGTACTTCTCACCATTCCTGCTCTTCTAAGTTGCCCTTCTCTCCATGAGCAGTGCACTAAAGACCTGACTGTGGTCCTAAGACATCACATCTGAAAGTTTTACAGCACAGAATATAAAAAGGTTCCTTGCATTTTGCAAATAAACAGAATCTCCAGCATTCAAAGCATCCCAGGGGATGATGCTCATTTCTCCAGCCCACTCTGAGCACAATGCTTGCAGGGCCATTAGCACTTGCTCAGTTTTGTTGGCTGCTCTTAATTATGCCTGACTCACTTCTAAACCCCAGGATGACAGGAATGAAAAGCCAGGTTTCTCCACTACCAAGTGAGAGATCCATTTGCCATTCAAACATAGTGAGGAATGGCAGTGGAAGATGTGGTGTGAAAAGAGTTCTACCTCTCAGCCCTGAATAAAAGCAGCACCAGTAGCTATTTATGACCAGGACATAAGGGGCAAGTGGTTAGGTAGTTGGCAAAGACAGATTTAGAAACTGCTTCCCCAACTTCAAATGAGGTCACAAGTTAAGTCACTGAGACCAAAATCCCACAAAATACAGGAGGAGCTACTGGTGCTAAACTTGCACTCAGTAAGAGCTTTCAGATGCAAGGTAATATCCTCTTTCTAAGAGATTTTCACTTATGGCAATATGACATACTACTGTGGCATTCAAACTGCTGAGAGAGGCATGAAGCACCTGATCACTTAAATTACAAATTTTACTCTCCCATTAGAGCTTTATGCTTCATCTGCCATTGATAGAATTTGCCAGGTACCTAAATAGAAACTTAATAAAAAGATTCTTCCCTCCCTCCCCTGAGGCTCTTGTATTAGACTTACAAAATACACCAACAAAAAAAATTAATTTTAAATAAAGCTCAAATGCAGACTTTTCTCACTGATACAGGTCAGTAGGTGACTGTATCTATTAAGATCTATCTATTAGACTGAGTCT